GGGGGAAATGAACAGGGGTCGCCCCGTTGGGGGAGGTGAAGGGGTCTCTGGGGGGCAGGTGAAGGGGGTCGCCCCGTTGGGGGAGGTGAAGGGCTTCTCAGCCAGGCCTGCAGCAGCCCTACCTCTCTGGTGGTGGCTTCACTAGTGGTCAGCGCCGGGTAGAGGGGAGGGGGCGGCTTCCAGATCCCGGGGTAGGGAAGGAGGGGCCGACCGGCGGGGTGGGGGGGCTCCAGGCAGGGTCGGCCCCTTGGGGTGTTGCTACTGCCGGAGGTGGCTTTGACGGGTCGCTGCCCCCATCCCCCACCTAGCCCTGGCTGGTAGCTGCACACCCCCAAGTCCTGGGTCCTGGGGGAGTGGACAGATGAGGGAACTGAGCCTGGGCCCCCACAGGAGGGCGGGAAAGCGGTTGTGCGGGTGTAGACGCACGCTGGGACAGTCTGGCCGCTCATCCCCGTGTGTGCGCTGGGCAGTGCAGGGGGGAGGGGCGACAACTTGCTGATTCTAATCTCCCCTCCAGGAGGCCCCAACCCCTCTGCTGTCCTTTCCACCAGAAGGGCGGAGGGTTTCTTTCATTTTAGGACATGGAGTCACAGAATGTTTAAAACTTTAATTAAAAATTTTAGGGAAACACAAGAAAGCAATGGATCCCATACTAACACCTTTTAGGGTGGTTGCTGTATCTGTCGTCCTGTCTTGTCTGGGAGGAAGCATGTTTGTGTTGTTTGAGCAAACCCCAGACACCCCTGCACTCACCTCCACCTGCTGCTTCCTGTAGGGCAGGAAATATCTGGAGCCTGCCGGTTACAGTGACAGCAGACCGAGTATCCGGAAAAAATACTGCGTGTATTTTGTATGCGTTGGGAGCCTGCCAAGGAACTAGCCGGCTTGTTAAATGGTAGAAGGCTTTTCGGAACATAAGGTGTACACCTGACTTAGTAGGGGAAACGGAGGGGAGAAATGGCCTCTATGGGTCCAACGAGCAGGTCCGTTTAGGAAAGGCAAGTGGGTTTTGAGGAGAACGGGAGGTAAGAAAGCTTGTGACCCTGTTTGTCTGTACGGCTATGAGTGGTCCATCTCCTTCGGGTGGGAAACCGCTCCCAGAGAGGTTTAGGGCAGCCTCATTTCCCAGACCTTGCTTTTAGTCTAACAAGAGAAGCTCCCAGGAGGCTTTCTTTTGCATCTGTTGAATCTTAAGTGTCTTTATCTTAAAATAATGTGGCAATTTTGGGGTCTGGAGTGGCCCCCACACTTCCCACGCATCTCCAAAACTGTGTTTCTTGCATAACCACCACACACAGTAATTCCTTGTTTTATCTGCCCTCTGGTCGTTACCCAGAGTCCACCTGTTATCTCAACAGTGGCTGTTAAAAAAGTTGGTTTGAATCAGGATCCAAACAAGGTGATGAGGTCTTTCAGGACTTTAGGTTGGTACTGTTCCTCTTCTTTTTCTTACATATTTTTCCTCGTCCTCCATCATCTAAATGCCAATGACTGCAGGCCTCAGGGCAGGTGCCCTATGAGTCTGTTACCTTGCTTCTTTAGAGTGTTCCTGATGTTATCCCTCCATCCTGGGAACGCCTTGCCAAGGGAGGTTTGCTTTATTTTTTTAAAAGATTTTATTTATGTATTTGAGAGAGAACACATGAGCAGAGGGGAGGTGCAGAGAGGAGAGGGAGAAGCAGACTCTGTTGAGCAGGGAGCCCGATGTGGGGCTCGATCCCAGGACTCTGGGATCACAACCTGAGCCGAAGGCAGACGCTTAACCAACTGAGCCACCCAGGTTCCCCTAGGGAGGTTTGCTTTAGAGCTGAGTTTTGCACCAGGGCTACACAGTAGGATCCCCCCCATCTTGCCCCGGGATTTTTTTTTTAAGTAGACTCCATTCCCAGGGGCTCTAAATCATGACCCTGGGATCAAGACCCGAGCTGAGATCAAGACTCAGATGCTCAACCAACTGAGCTACCGAGGCGCCCCAGCCCCCGGGAAGCTTTAAACAACCCTGTGTGGGGCAGCTCAGAATCTCTACGGAGGGGCCTGGCACCGCTATTTGTAAAGCTCTCAGAAAGCATCTCACTGTAAGAACAAACACAATGAAAAGTAAGAGGTTTAGGTCTCCTTGTGGAACATAAGAGACTCCCCCACCCTTCCCCTTCAGAATTTCTTTTTCTGTCCCTTGGAAATGCATGCAAATCTTTTCAATGGCTAAAGAAAGACCTGGGAATGTCTCATGGGCGTTCTGGTTGGATGCTCATTCAACAACAAACTTGCTTTCTCCTTGCTTTTTGTGGAGACGTTTTCTGGGTTGGGAGCAGATTTCATTGTATGTCATTATATTTCTGCAGCAATAACGTGCCACCACAGTTGGAAGTAGGTTGGTTTTGGACGTGATCCGATTCACTCAAAGATTTGGATGTTTTGTTTGCCACTTTTAGTCAGAGGAACAGAAACACAAAATTAAAGTCTGAAAGGAAATATAAAGTTTCAATTGACGATTTTTGTGCATTCAGAGCATTTGTTCTTCTAGGGTGTAGGAAAGGGAAATCTTTCTCTCTACCCTCTTAGATTCTAACCCTGAGGCCTGTGAATTAAACAGGCAAACCACAGAATAACAGAGGAAAAGCATATGCATTTTTACTTGATGTTAATTTTTTATGTGCCTGTGGGCTTCATAGTAAGATTGCCAAAACCCAAAGCAACAGACTCGGGGGCTTATGTACAATTTTAACAAAGGGTGATCTGTTGTGCAGAACTGACAAGACAAAAGGGAGTTTGGGTGGTAAATTGTGGGTGGTAAATGTATGTGGGGAAACCAACTAAATCAGGGTTATTTAATAAGGTTGGCTTATGCAGACTCATCTGGGTGCTGCCTCCATCTCTGGTGATAGGGTTATTCTCCTTTTCCTGGTACAGGGATGGTGGAGACACCTTCACAAGGGGGCTTTACGTCCTGTTTTAGGCAGGAGAAGGGCAGAAAGCTCATCCTGTGTCTGCTTTTTCTTACTTGCCTTCGGCTCAAAATCATCCTTATGCCAAACTGGCCTTTCCGGGGTGACATGTTTTGATCCCCTTCAGAGGTTATAGTCAGAGGTAAACTGGGCACTAGGTAAAGGGGGTAAAGACAGTTTTTATTCAGCACTATTGCAAGAGTGCAAAGATGCAGAGACTACAACAGAGCTGAGCTGCAAACACAGCAGAGATGGCTGGAGATTTGGACCAGCAAGCCAAGAGAGAGGCTCAGCTCCAGCAGGATGCTAGAGACGGGGTGGCTTGTAAACAACAGAAACATATTGCACACAATTTTGGAGGCTGGGAAGTGCAAGATCCAGTGTCTGGTGAGAGCCCAATTCCTGGTTCACAGACGGAGTCTGCTTCCTGTGGATGGGGCAAGGGTGCTCTCTGGAGTCTGTTATAAGGGCACTAATCCCATCATGGGGGTTCTATCCTCAGGGCCTCGTCACCCCCCAAAGCCCCGTCCTCCAAAACCCATAACACTGGGGGTTCGGTTTCAACATCTGATTTTTGGAGACACAGCCTTCCGCCGATGGCATTGGCCCATCAAGATCCTCGCTCTGGCAAAGATGCATGAATATGTCAGAAGTGGGGGTTGAGGAGCTAGATCAGGCATCAAGGAGGGGCTGTCTTGGCAAGCAGACCCAGCAGGATTCTTGCTACAACTGGGCTGTGCAGGGTTGGACACGGAAGCCCACGGATGAGGTCTTGAG